TCATTTTCCCCCACTTGGCCCGTCAATCTTGGCGCCCCTCTTTGTCCTTCCAGAGGGACAACAACATTAATAAATTAATTGTCGCCATTTCCTTCACGATTTCCTTATTCTTTCGCCCAGCTAAGGAAAATAGAGTGGAAATGATTATTTCCCGAAGAACCTGGAGCACGTTACTGGGCGGCGATCCGGTCGAAGTAGGGCTGCACGAAATCGAAGAAGTCGAACTCCCTGGTCTCGAGGCCGTACCGGTAGATGTAGCGGCTGCCGAGGTAGGCGCCGAAGATGGCACGCAGGTAGTTCTCCGGCACGCGCTGGCACAGACCCGCCACGCCACCCACCAGCTCCAACAGGACCGGAGGGCAGGCCTCGGCCAACACCAGGTTCCTGTCGCGCGCGACACAAACGGTACCGCCAATCACCATCAATACGCGATCAGCAAACACCAATCAACAACACCACGACAGGGAGGACTTACTTGAAGGCCTGGTTGGTCCACAGGTTGGAGTTTTGGATCTGAACGTTGAGGCCGTTGATCTTGGTCGACACCAGGTCGGCGATCACCGAGCGCGGCAGCCCCGTTCGCTTGTTCGCTGCACAACGCACAAATGGATTAATATAATAAAAATGCAATCGACATAAGGCATCGCAAGGTGCTGCGTACCATCCCAGACGGCCTGGAATTCGAGGGCGGCGTTGCGTTCGATGATCTGGTGGACGTTCTCGATGTAGCGGCGGTAGAAGTCGGGCACCACCTCGTCGCCGGTGTCGGCTGACTTCTGGACGGTCATGTGGGCCAGGAACTCGTCGTCCTTGAGCGCCAGCGCAGCCAGGACCTCGAGCGACGACGACGTCACGCCGCCCTTGTTGGCGCTGGCGTCCTTGAAGATCACCACGCCGGCCTCCTCGAGCACGAGGCGCGCCTCCTGCGTGAAGAACAGGTTGGCGCCCTCGACGATGTACTTGAACCGCGGCACGCGCTCGGGAGCGCCGCCGGCGGTGGTGGCGGTGGAGCGCCGGTGGTGGAAGAACTTGTCGACGTTGCTGATGTTGACGGCCTCGGGGCGGCCGCCGCAGGGCACGAAGAGCGTGGCCGACGAGAGCGGGTTGAGGTGGAACTCGTTGCGGAAGTTGAGGCCGTTGTCGACGACGGTGCCGTCGGGCAGCGTCACCTCGCGGTCGTTGACGTCGACGAGGAAGCCGCCGGCGGAGAGCCGGGCGCGGTCGAACTCTCGCACCATGAGGCGCGCGTCCGCCAGGCGACGGAGCTCCTCGCGGTCGATTCCCTGCGGGTCGTACAGCACGCCCGAGCCATCAACGATGCCGATGGTCTTGTCCCGCGAGATCTTGATCTCGTTCGATCCGAGATCGCCGTCGGGTCCGCCTATCGACAACGACACGACACGACGGTGAGGTGAGGTGAGGCCGGGCCAAGAAAAAGGTCGTGGCCACGGGTGGTCACAACACACGTACCGGTTTGGAACTTGGTGACGTCGGCTTCGTCGATGCCCAGCTTGGCGAGGATGCCCACCACGTACTGGTGGATCGAGCGCGTGGTCATGCCGTACATGTCCTGTCGTCCCCCCCCCGTATGAGTGTGCGTGTGATTGTGACGGAAGAAAGAAAGAAGAAGAAAGAACGAAAGAAAGAAGAAAGAACGAAAGAACGAAAGCGAGAGCAGGAATGGGAGTAGTACGTGAGGAATGCCGCCGAGGGAGCGGGACTTGCCGGTGGTGAAGGCCTTCCAGAACGAGGCGCCCCGCTCCTTGGCCCGCTGCGAGGCCCAGTCCATCACGTCGGCCGTGCCCTCGTCGGGTCCCAGGAACAGGATCTCCTCCGTCTTGTAGTGGTCCACAATCGCCTGCTCCCGCCTCGTCTCTACACATTCATTCGCACTTCTTCATTAGTTGTGCACTCGACACGACACACGCAAAATGCATCACAGATAATAAATTAAATAAACTACCCATTTAAATCATGAATAATAAGGGTACCTTGGCTGGAGAGAAGAATGTCGAGAATGCTGTCGACGTATTTCTTGAAGGCGTTCTCGGCCTGTTCGGGCTTGTGAGGCTGGCCGTGGGCGGCCTTGGCGAGGTCGAGCAGGATCACGCCCTTGGACCCGCCCTCGGGGATGTCCTTGTTCTTCCGCTCCTGCGTGTTGGCCAGCCCGTAGCACTCCTCGAACATGTGGCGCGCGTTCGTCGCGTACGACTCCGTGTCGCGCGACCGCACAATACGCACGCCTCCGCGCGCTACGTCCGAAAACCTGTCACCGTGTGTCGTGTCGTGAGTGTCGTGCGTGTGTGTTGTGTGAGTGTCGTGTGTGTCGTGTGTGTACCGAACGTGGAATCCGCGGAATTCGTCGCCGATGATGTAGAAAATGCCAAAGGGTCGCTGGGGGTACTCCTGGTCGTCCAGGAATTCGGGGCTGAGGCGGAACGAGAGGGCCACCTTGTCGACCTTGTAGAAGTTGGTCTTGACGACGTGGCGGTTGAAGGTGAGGAACATGCCGAAGATCTCCTGGTCCTGCTCCGACGCGGCGGCGTGACGCTTGATCGCGGCGAGGACCTCGTCGCGCCGGGCGGCGAGGGCGTCGGCGCCGAGCTGGAGGCTGGCCTGGGCGTCGGCGTCGGCCGGGTTGTGGAGGCGCGCAAAGTCACGGTAGAGGAGCTTTACCATGGCCGGGTTGGCCATGATGACGTCACCGATCGAGTGTTCGGTGAAGGTGGCGTTAACCAGGCGCCGCTTGAGCGCGGCCATGAGGCCCGCGTGGCGCTCGTCGCGCATGTCGAGCGCCTTGCGCAGCGCGTGGTACTCCGAGCCCATGCGGTTGATGAAGTGCGCCGCGAACTTCCACGCGGCGTGCGCGTACACGCACTCCTCCTCGCTCAGCTCACCGGCCTGCAGCAGCGACGCCATCCGCGACGACGGCAGGATGTAGATCAGGTTCGCCTCCTTCTCGAACAACCGCATCCGCGCGTTCACATCAGCCGCGTCTAATGTGCGACACACGACACGACACACGGTCAGTGGTGATGAGTGTGGTGTGGTGGTCGTTGCGGTGTCCGAAGGGGGGAGGGCACCTTGGGCGGGCTGGGAGGCCGGGGTGGTGAGGTAGAGGCAGACGATGAGGAAACCGTTGGCGAACTGCTCGACGAACTTCTTGCGGGCGACGAAGCCGTGGTAGTGGTAGAGGTCGGTCAGGGCACCGAAGAAGCGGGTCGTGGTGCCGCGGCGGTAGCAGATGACGATGCGCTTCTCGCCTACCTCGGCGTCGTAGGACTCGATCACCGGGCCGGGAATCCTGGCCGCCTTCCGCAGGATGTTCTGGTAGATCTCCTTGGTGCTGGCCGACGCCTTGACCAGGAAATCGCGATCGCCGATCTTGTTGATGTCCAGCTCGTCGCGGAGCTGCGCCGGGTCGGCCTCGTCGCTGCCATAGTTGGCCTTGTTCACAACGTAGAGGCGCAGGTTCTGCTGCTGCTCCGAAGACACGAAGCCCGACGACCTGTAGACTGTCGGGCAGAAATGTAGCGTAGAGTGGTGTGTGTCGTGTTGTTAGTTGCTGGGGCACACGACACGTCCGCGTGCATTTCTCTCCTTCTTTTCGCCACACGCGCGCACAGGCACCGCACGACCGCACGCACGCACAATACACCGACTTACCCTGGACGCGATAGGAGGAGCCGTCGTCCTGGAGAGCGAGGTAGCGTTCGTCGAGTCGGCGCTCGATGGCGACGGCGGGCGAGGTCTGCGAGCCGGGAACCGAGTTGCAGGCGAAGATGGCGCCGTCTTTGTGCTCCTGCTGGATGTTGATCTTCACCTTGCCACTACATTTAACAAAAATATTTAGTATTAATATATCTAACAACATTGGCACCAAACAGAAGCAATTATAAGATCAAATATTATTATTATTTATTAGTATATTATTTTTTTGATTTAAAAAAAGAAATACCTCCGGTGACCCCACTCGGAAGCATTATTCTTTTTTTTCTGATTTAAAATAAATATTATTATTCATTGGTTTGTGGTCGTGGTCGTGGTCGTACCTCTCGGCCGAGGAGAGCATCTTGTTGGCGTAGATGGCCGAGATGTGCTTGGCGATTACCTCGGCCGACTGGCTCGTGAAGTAGTTGTCCACCATACCCAGTTTACTGCAAGGGGAATCACCATTTGTCGTCAACGATTAAACCAATCCCGATCGATCAATTATTCGTATTATCTCATTAGAAAGCAAAGAGGAGGATTGAAAGGAAAGAAATGATGCGTAATTAAAAAAAAATCATTGGAAGAATGGAATTCGGGTGGGTGGTGTACTCGAAGAACCAATCGACCTCGCCTTCGACGAGGTCGGCGTTGATCTTGCCGTCCTTGCGGAGGAGTGCGAGCACCTCCGCCTTCTGTGTGGTCACCTGGGACTGCATGTGTCTGTTGTGTGCTGTGTGTGTCGGAGGTGGCCTGGTGGTGGTTGTGTTGGCCTTCGCTTTCTTCGAGAGACGGCTTGGTCGCGGTGGTAGCGGAAGACGGCGAAGAACTGGTGGAGGAAGAGGACCAGGAGTAAGGTACTGGGCCGATAGTCGAGGATGGGCCAATGGGGACCCAGCCACCTTAAAACAAAACCGGAAACCTCCGGACGTACCGCAGTTGTAACTCCCCGTGTTTGACGAACACATGACTTTCCCTGTGTTTGTTGTTGACGTGACGCAAGTGGTGTGAACCACGTACATTACGTTCACCTGTGTTCCAACAACCAACCACTCACAGACAGCCCTTCATTTGTACAGGTGCAGGTGGTCACACAAACACTGAGGCAGCCTTATGTTGGAGGTCAGTTGTAGCAACCCAACACCAAAAGTTGTCTTTTGAGGCCATTTGTTGATTTTTTTTTTAATGTGATTGAATGCCATTTCTTAATCTGCTGTATTTGCCTTGGCATTGGACACAAAGGGCTTCTCTTCTTAGCTTTGTTCCCCACTTCCTTGGCTTTTTCTCAGGATGGAAGGGGAGCCAGAGGGTGACCCATTTTCCAGCACACAATAGCTTTTTGCAAAAACAAATAGGATATGAGCTAATAGGATTATTTTCCTTTTTCTGTTCTTTCTTTGCTTCCAACAGACATTTACAGGCCAAAGTGAAAGGAGCAGGGTGGAGCATGCGGTCCGCCATGAGGCCTTTGCCACCAGTTTGGAAGGTGGGCCTGCTGGTGGTGGCCCTAATCGTAGTCTACTCCTACATGTCCCTCTACGATGAACTCAGTGCCCTGTCGCGCTCGCTCCGGCGCGTTGAGCATCTTCTCCAGACCCACGAGGGCCTCGGACTGCCATTCCAAGACGAAGAAGATCAAAAGGGAGGCGACGAAGAGCTGATTGAGCGGCGACTCGCCGAGGCCCTGCTGGAGATAGATCGGTACCACAAACCATAGCGCTAAATATGTACTTTTATCTCTTTTTCATACCATTTCTTACATCTTTAACTCTGCGACGCCTTGTTCTTTGTGATGGCGGGCGTGGTGGGGCCGGGCGCAGGTTGGACCCAAGCAAGAAGCGAAGGAAGGAGGAGTTCCAACGCATCTGGGACAACTTCGCCTGGGGACCGGACGACAGGTTCTCTCCACCCTGCACCACTCTTTCTCTCTCGGAAACCTAACCGGGAGTTGTCACACCAAGGAGCGGACCTGGTAGCACGGCGGAAGCGTCGGCACAGGCGAGGGTGGCCATCGAGACCGTTGTCCGCCAGTATGGCATTCGCACCATGCTCGACTCCCCGTGCGGCTCCTTCTCCTGGATGCCGCTCATCAATTTCGAGGCCCTCAACGTCACCTACGTCGGTTCGTCTCCTTCTCTTTTTAGATTTTCTTAAGTCTTGTTTATGTCATATATGCGTGTCGAAATAAGATTATTTTATGGTCTCTCTCATCTCAATTATACAATATATATATATTGATTGTTTATTTATTTTTGAGACGTGGTGGGGTGCAGGAGTGGACATTGTGCCGGGCAACATCGAGAAGGCCAAGGCCGCGTGGCCAACCAAGCAGCCGCATGTGTTCCAGTTCTACTGCGCTGACGTGGTCGACGGGTTCGAGTTTGTCGACAAGCTGGTGCTGCAGGCCCAGCAGGAGTACCCGACCAACACGCACAACTGGAGCCAGGGCTGGGACCTCATCTTCTCACGCGAGTTCCTGCAGCACCTCCCGCACGAGGCCGTCAAGCGCGTGCTGCGCAACTTCAACAAGACCGGCTCCAAGTACCTCCTGCTCACCCACGACCCCTCCAACGCCATCAACAAAGACATCCAATTCGGTGCGTGTTTTGTTGCTATATGCAATCAACTTAAAACACTACCCAACCCAACAAACTCACTGACGTGGCGGAGTGGGCCACACAGGTGGCTACGAGCCGATCAACATGCGGGCGCCACCATTCAACCTGGGCCAACCACTGGCAGATTTCCCTGATGCTGGCCATGAACGCCTGCTGCTCTACAAGCTGCCGCTTGTGGGCTTTGAGGACTGAAGAGTAAATAATTGTTGGCTTCTCCTGCATGCTTGCACCAGCACATGAGGTATGAGCTCTCCTTCAACCCTCCCACCCACCTGCCTGCCTGCTCAGTCACCCCCCATCAGCTCCTTGGCTGACCATTGCCTGCCCCCACCACCACTGGGCAAGAGCAGCTTTCTGTCGACAGCAGCAGGAGGTTTTTGTGGTATCTTTGTTATTTTGTTGTTTTTGTTTTCATCTACTTGTGTGCTGAGTGACAGTTGAATATTTGGATAAGTTTACATATGATTTTGTGGCTATATTTCAGGTGACAGATGATTTTTATGGCCATTTTTGGATATGTTTACAGATGATTTTGTGGATTTTTATGCAGATGACAGATGATTTTTATGCAGATGACAGTTGATTTTTATGCCCATTTTGCAGACAACAGATGATTTTTATGCTCATTGTGCAGATGACAGATGATTTTTATGGCCATTTCACAGATACCCATTTCACAGATGACAGATGATTTTTGTGCAATGACAGATGGTTGTTATGCAGATGAGTGATGCTTTTTATACAGATGATTTTTGTGTGATGACAGGCTTTTTGTGTGATGACAGATGCTTTTTATGCAGATGACAGATGATTTAAAGCCCATTTTGGCAGGTGACAGATGCAGATGACAGATGATTTTTGTGCAGATGACAGATGATTTTTATGGCCATTTTGGATGACAGATGATTTTTATGCAGATGACAGATGATTTTTATGCCCAATAACAGCAGATGACATATGATTTTTATGCAGATGACAGATGATTTTGGTGCAGATGAAATGATATAATGCCCATTTTGCAGATGACAGATGATTTTTTGCTGATGACAGATGATTTTTATGCCCATTTCACAGATGACAAATGATTTCTTGCAGATGATTTATTGCAGATGACAGATGATTTTAATGCCCATGTTGCAGATGACAGATGATTTATTGCAGATTGTTTTTTGCACAGATGATTTTTAAGCCCATTTAGCAGATGACAGATGATTTCTATACCCATTGCACAGATGACAGATGATTTTTAAGCCCATTTTGCAGATGACAGATGATTTTATGCAGATGATGTTTATGCCCATTTCACAGATGACAGATTTTTTTTATGCAGATGACAGTTGATTTTTATGCCCATTTGGCAGACAATAGATGATTTTTATGCTCATTGCACAGATGACAGATGATTTTTATGGCCATTTTGTAGATGACACTGTTAGATGATTTTTTGCTGTATTTATAAAGGAGCACCTGCATTTAGGGCAGCTTACAGTGCAGGCCAGCTACACTTTATGGGTGCCTCACACTGATGGGGAAGGGGAGGAGCTGGGCGAGGTGGTGGCGGTGGCTGTGGTCGTGCTGGTTGTTGCTGCGTCATTAAGCGGCGGCGCAATGTACCCGGGAAGGTGGGCGGCGCACGCAGAGTGGCACGTGTCAATGGCCTCTCCTACCACCGCGTAGATGTCCTCCTCGCCTCCCAGCTCTTTGCGCAGCTGCTCCCGCAGAAAGTCTGGCACAAGACACAATCAGCGCAAATACGACACACACGTAAACACACGTAAACACACACACAACACGCACACGCACACGCACACAACGTACCGGCCCAGATGAACTCGGCAAAGGGGATGGAGGTGGCCTTGAAGCCCTTTCGGCTTTTGACCGCCCACGCCAGGCTGCGATAGGCGTCGTCGCTCAGCTCCCCCACATTGGGCGGCAGCAGGTCCTGTTGCGCCGGCGCGGCCGTGTCAGCCCAGGCCTTTGCGTGCGTCGTTGGTGGCGGTGCGTGTGCGGGACGTACGGGGGAGAGCGGGTCCTGCCCGTGCTTGGTGAGGTAGGTGCACTTGTTGCGCTTCATCTTGTCCCAGAACTCGTCCTCGCTCAAGCCCGACAGGTCGGCCAGGATCTGCACGTGCAGCACCTTCAGAGCCGCGTCCACCTCCGAGTCCTGCGGGCCAACGCGAGCTGTGCGGTGAGCCTCGAAGTCCATGTGCTGTGTCGTATGTGCGTCGTGTCGTGTGCCGTGTGCCGTGTGCGTCGTGTCGTGTGCCGTGTTCCGTGTGCCGTGTGTCGTGTGCGGTATGGCTGGCGGTACCCAGAGGGCGCGGGCGGCGTGGTGTCGGTCGAGCATGTAGAACCTCTGCTCCGGTCCGACGACCACCGGCACCGTCTTCTTGCCGATGTACTTGATCAGCTTGGCCTCGCCGCACGTCCTTCAGCCACACACCACGCACACCGCACACACCGCACACGCTTGCAAGTCAGCGCATAACATCGCTGACACTGCGAACTACGACAGGCCGGGGGCGTACTTAGCCATTTTGTTGATCTTCTTCGTCTGGTGCGACACGGCCAACATGCCCACGGTGAACTGTGTCGGCCGCAGCTCGGTGATCGGGACCACCGGACTGCGCAGTCGTTAGTCGTTGGTCGTGTCGTCGATGACACACGACACGCGCGCGTACCGTTCTTTGCGGGTGGTGTGCTTGGCCTTGTAGAGCTCGAGCAGGTTGATGGACCGGCTGCGCCGCAGTTTCCGGCGCTTCTCCTTGAGGCTCTCCTGGCGCCGCTCGTCGGCCAGATACGTCGCCCGCAGGTTTGTGTCCGACAGACTCCGCCGCGGGGCGCCCAACATGCGCGACCTCGCACTCGGCGAATCGCTGAATTGCCTGTGCGTGTCGTGTCGTTGGTCGTGTCGTGCCGTGCCGTGCCGTGCCGTGCCGTGCCGTGCCGTGTGATGTCGTGTCGTGTCGTGTCGTGTCGTGTCGTGTCGTGTCGTGTCGTGTCGTGTCGTGTCGTGTCGTGTCGTGGTGAGCAACACAGGAGGAGCGGAGAGGTTAGAGGAGGACAAGAAGGGCTCCAACCAGAAGAGGGTCAACAACGCTATCACAAGCGCCGCCATCACCACCAGGGAAGGGCGGTGATGGTAGCGGAGGAGGGAATCGTGGTGGAGGTGGTGGTAAATGAGCGCAGCGGTGGCGGTGCTCGTGGCTATGAATAGGGTGAGGGAGAGTGTGACTCTGCGCGCGCGCGTGCCGTGTGTGCCGTGTCATGCGCGCGTGTCGTGCGTGAGTGCGTGTTCTATCCGACAGAGGTGTGTGCCGCCAAAAATAAAAAACCTAAAATAAAATAATAAAATAGAAATAGAAGGAAAAAAACGCTCGGAGTACCTGGAGGTCCGTCGCGACGTTGATCGCTCGCCCTTCTCGTCCGCCACCGATGCGGCTGTGGCGGCGTTGCCTTCGACTGCGTCGGCGTCGGCGTCTCCGACGTCGTCGTCGTTTCCATGGTTGCTCTGCCTGTCGTGGGCGCGCCCACGCTCTCCCTCGTCTCCTTCTCCCTCCTCCTCGCCCGCCGCGACCTCGATCTTGACGCGGAGCTTCTTCTTTTTCTTCTTTTTCTTGACCGGCGACTCGGGCGCCGCGGTGTCGGCGTCTGCGCCGGCGTCGGCGTTGAGCAGTGACGGTGGAGGCGGCGACGAGGGCAGGAGCGGGTCGGCCGTGACGTTGCGGTAGTTCTCGAAGCCGCTCTTGAGGTGCGCGAAGAAGACCTCGTCGCCCTCGTCGTCGCCCTCGGCCTCGGCCTCCACTTCGTTGCCGGCGCCGGCCCGCAGCCCCTTGGCCTGCTTCTTGCGCTTCTTCCGCTTCTTGCGGTGCTTCATCCGCTTCATGAGGTACACCCCGTAGGAGTCCTCGAGCGACGGCTGGTCGTCGTCGCTGACGTCAGCACTTCCTCCACCGCCGCCACGGTCGTCCGTGGGTGATGCGGGCGAGGCACCCATGGCGCGCTTGGTGGTGGTGAGCCGGGCCTGCGCCCCGCCGGGGTCGACGCTGCTCCCGCCGTCGGTCCGTAGGGCCTCGAGCTTGGCCAGCGGCAGCCGCAGCGACTCGGGCGACGGCCGCGTCGTCGACATTGATGCCGACGATGCGAGAGAATGAGACATGTCTGCTGCCGTGGGCGTCGTTGTCGTCAATGTCGACGTCGACATCTTTCGCGCCACCGCCGCCGTCGACGCCGCTGCCGCGGCCGCGTCGCTCGTTTTGAGCTGCTTGAGCGGGCCGGCAGCCGCGCCGCCCGCGCTGCCGTCCTTCGCCGATCCCGACCGGCGGCGCTTCTCTTTGGCCGCGCTCGGCGACGTCGGCGGCGAGCGCACCTCCGTCGTGGGCGCCGGCTGCTCGGGGAACGTTAACGACGGGCGGAGCCGGCACAGAGCCCTCAACAGCCGCTGCGGCGATGGAGCTGCGGTCGTAGGAGCTGCGCCGCTTGATGCTGCCGGCCGATTTGTCGGCACCGTCGCCGACGGTCTTCTTGGCCTTCTCGATTGCCGACTTGGGTCGCGCGGGCTTCGGACTGGCCACCGACAGCGGCAGCTTGTAGGCACTGGGCTCTAGCGGCGGCTGCGGCTGCGGGTCTTCTGCCCCCTGATCGTCGGCCGCATTGGCGGCGGCGGCGGTGGCGACGGTCGGCTCGGCGGCGTCGGACAGGCCGCTGGTGGCTTCGCTTCGAGGACTGGCGCCTGCGAGGGCCTTGGGTTCGAGGGTCGCGCGCAGCTCGTCCTCGGCCTGCGACTTCTTGGCCCGCTTGCGGTCCTTCTTCCGCTGCTGCTCGTTCTTGATTGGTCCGACCGCGGCCGCTGGCGGCGTAGCCGCCGCCGCCGCCACGTCATCGCTGATGTCATCCTTGGCCCGCTCGGTGGCCGACCTGCCCAGCGAGCCGGCGCGCTTCTTGTTGGCACGCTTGTCCACCACCACCACTACTGACGGTGTCGACGACGCCGCCGGATCGTCGCCCTCTGTCGTCAACATTTCGACACATTCGGCGGTAGTGGCAGCAGCCGCGGTGGGCTTCTGGGCGAATATGTGAGGAATGAGGTCCAGTGATCGGCTCAGCGCGTCGTTCCTCAGCTTCCGCATGAACCCACCCGACTGCTGCGTTGCTGTAGACGTTGTCGATGTCGGCGGTGGCGAGAAGGCGGGGCTGATCTCCGAGGGCTGCGGCTGCGGCTGCGGCTTGTTGGAGCTTCGCTTCTTGGCGGCGCCACCACCCGCGGGCTTGCCGCCGCCGGGCTGCGGGAACATGCCGACGTACGTGCGGTTCATGTCGTCATCACTCTTGCTGCTGAGCTTCTGCTTCCGCTTCTGTCTCGCCGTCGCCGTCTTGTGCGCGGCCGCCACGGCCGCATCACAGTGGTCGCTACTGTCTACGGCCGCAGAGGCAGCGGCCTCGACCATGGTCTCGGGCTCGCTGTGAGCGCTGATGACGTCACCGGCTTCGCTGGTCGCACCGACGGCGGCAGAAGCATGGACGTCGATGTCCGCCAGAATGCTGCGCAGCATGGCCTCGTCGATGCCGCTCATCCGCAGCTCGCGGCTCCTTCGCTCGCTGGGCAGCATCTCGAGCGACCCGCCCCGCCGCCGCACCCGTCGCCGACCGACCGCGCCGGCCTCGTCGTCAGCACCGCCGCCGCCGCCACCACCACCGAAGCAGTCCGCGCCCGCGTACTCCAGCGCACCGGTGCTGTCTTCGCCGTTGCAGTTATTATCGACGGCGACCGTATCGTCCACCACCTGCCGCAGACGATGATCTCGGTGACGGCCGTGCTTCAGGGCGCGCTGCTGCTGCTTGTGCTCCTTGTTGTTGTTCTTCTTCTTGGCGGGCGTGGGGGCAGGCATCTCGGGCGATTGTCGTCGAAGGCCCTGGTGGCCAGCGTCGCCGGTGACGGTGGCCGTGGTCGCGGTGGTGCTGCTCGTGGTGGTGCTACTACTTGTAGTCGTGGTAGTGCTGCTGATGACCCCGTCGTCGAGTGGCAGCAGTGGGGAAGGAGCTTCGTCGCGCTTCTTGCGCTCCGACTTCTTCTTGCTGTTGTGCTCCTTCTCCTTCTTCTTTTTCTTTTTACGTGGCAGCTGCGGCGAGGCCTCGGGTGGACCACCTGCAGGGTGGGTCGGCAGGGGGAGGGGGTAGCAAGCCGAAGAAGAAGAAGAAGCCATCCATGTGTTATTCGAGTAGAAAAGATGAAGAAAGAAGAGACGAAAGCACGAACCTGTCTCGAGGGCACCAGTTGCCGAGGTAGCGCAGTCCTCGAAGTCGCTTGTAGGTCCACCATGCAGATGAATGCTGGCAGTTTCCTCAATGCAGTCGTATGTGGGCTGCGGTTGGTCGACCTGCTGCGTGACGCCCCACGGGTCGGCGAGTGGAAGGGTCCACGTCCCACTTTCTGCCAGGTAGGAGGGAGAGGGAGGCCGCCTTCTCATCTTCTTTAGCGCGTTCGTCTGCTTGGCTACCCAACCCACATACGCGCACACAGCAATAATTTACACAAACGAAAGAGAAAATCAAAAGCAACAAAGAAATGTGAAAGAAACCTTGGCTCAGGAAAAAGATAGGCCAACCAAGAAATGAAAAAGAAAACAGAGTCTGGAAAGCAACGACTCGATCTTTTTGTCATTACTCGATTGAGAATGTACGGTGACGGAGGACGCAACTACTATGGCGGCGGCGGTGGCTCGTATAATCACGGTGAGAATGGTGGTGGAGGAAGAGGAAGGGGTGGTGGAAGAGGAGGTGGAGGTGGAGGAGGAGGGGCCGAGGGACAGTGGCAGAGGAACGTAGTGTGCAAGTACTACCTCCAGAATCGCTGCAGCCGAGGCGACTCGTGCTGGTTCATCCATGGAGGCGCCCCCTCGTCGACCGCCGACGAGATCCTGCCCTCGATGTCGGCGTTGTCCCTGGGCGGCCCGAGCCACCACTACCCCTCCGCTGCTACGAGCTCGTGGCGATCGGCCCCGAGAGAGCCCGAGGTCATCACGGGTCCCAACATCGTCAACACGCTGCCCGACAAGGTGCTCGCACTGATCTTCGAGCAGCTGGGCGACAATTACATCCAATTGGCGCGGCTCGCGCTCGTGTGTCGGAAATGGCGAAGCATCAGTGAAGATGACGAGCAATGCGAGGCGTGGAAGCACGCGGCGCAGAACTACTACCTGTGTCAGAACGGATCGATGCGCAAGGCCCTCGGGACGTGGAAGGCCTTCTTCGGCCTCATGGTCAACTTCGAGGACAACATGATGGGCGACGCCTTCGACAACTACCAGAACGACCAGGACTGGGGCGAGCTGCTCGACGATTACGAGAGCGAGGCGGGCTGGTACGGCGAAGGCGCCTCCAGCGGTCACTACCAGCCCGACATGGGCAGCAGCGGCGAGTACTACTACGGTCCCCCGCATTGAGAATATCCCCATCTCTCATTTTTCCCCCCCAATCTCTCATCCCCCCTCTACGACGATCATCGCTGTAGCCAATCTCACTCTTCTCTACTGTACATAAGAAAGGAGAAGAGCAGGATCAAAAAAAAATATGAAGCTTCTTTACCCCTCCATCGATCACAGCCTTTCTCTCGCTCCCGTAAAAAGAACACGAAATAATAATAAATAAATAAATAAAAGCGTAATAACGCAACCGTCAAGCCAACGTTGCGCAGCCACAACTCTGCGCAAAACACACGCGGACGCAGCGAGACCAGCACGAAACAAGACGATTGAAACGGCGGGGTGCCGCTACAAAGAAGATCGATCGTAACACAGCTATGAGTTCAGAAGCTGGCCGGCACATGCGCGTGCGTGTACGACCCCCCAATCTCGAAAGAAACTTATAAGAGAGATAATCCCTCACAATCAAATCCAATTTATTCTTGCTTTGGGCTGGATCACAACCACATTCGACACCTCCCCCCTTTCGCATGTCCATGATTTATTATTTGTTTTGCATTTGTGCCAAGGAGCCCACCACAGCAACGCCTATTTCCCATTAAATAATAATCATGTCATATTTACCGTTATATTAATTTAAAATAACAACAATTATTATAATCTGCCTTGGATGCACGCCTTGGCAAGCGACCTCATCTCGTTACCGACTTGTTCTTTTGTTTTAGGTCTTCACGCGCTGGTGCAACCAAAAGCTGCAGCAGCGGGGCCTCAAGATCGAGGACTGGACCACGGACGTGGGCGACGGCATCACCCTCATCGACCTCTGGGAGGTCGCCAGCCACAAGACCGTCAGCGGCGTCAACCGCAAGCCCGGCAACAAACGGTGCCTCGAGCTTTCAACTTTGCTCTTTCGTTCTTCGCCGCGCTTCTTTCGTTCTTCTTCTTCTTCGCGCTTCTTGTTGTGGTCTTGAGTCTGTGGTACTGACTCGGTGGCTTGCTTGGCGTGCATCACAGATTCCTGAAGATGGCCAACATGACGCTCCTGCTCGACGCCATCAAGAGGGACGGCGTGCCCGTCGTGGGTATCACCAAAGAACGTACGTTGACGTCGCATCGCACTCCCCCCCCGAAACGAAGGAACGAAACAAACTAAAGAACGAACGCGAACGCGAACGCGACAGACCTGGTGGAGGCGCAGGTGGACCCCGTGTTGGAGCTCATGTGGAATCTGATTCGGGCGTACCACCTCAACCACGCCGCGGCCGGCATCACCTCGGGCTCCCTGGACTCCAGTACGCCCCCGCCCCTCCCCCGCCTCCCTCGTTTGTTCGCGGCCGGCACTCACTGGTGCGGCGAACAACAAAAAACTCAGAAACGGAGGCGTACAAGGGGAGAACGCTGCGGTGGGTGAACGACAAGCTCGCCGGCTACAGCGTCAAGGCGGACGACTTCAAAGACAGGTTGCACCATCATTCCTGTCATTCATCAAATTCCGTGTTCGTGTGTGTCGTGTGCGTATGTGTGTTGGCTGACTTGTTGACACGCGCAGTTGGCGTGACGGCCGAACGTTTTGTGCATTGGTCCACGCTCTGGAGAACGACGCGCTTAACTTTGCGTCGGTCGCTCAGGTTCACCACCCGCTGCCCCTCGCGCGCGCGCGCGCACACACACACACCTCTTGTCTGACTGCTGGCGCGTCCAGTCCAACGCGGCCGACGCGCTGGAGCTGGCGTTCGCCGCGGCGGAGCGGCATCTCGGCATACCGCGCCTGCTGGACGCGGCCGACTTCGCCGGCGACGACGCGGCCCTGCCCGACGAGCCCTCCATGCTCACCTACCTGGCCCACTTCGTCAATCACACCTCGAGCAACTTCAAGATCGTACGATCGGCCATTATTCATTCATTCATATTATAATATGTGTTAGTGTATTATTATTATTATAATATTATTTGTTATTATTATGATTACTCTACTGACCGTCGTTGGCGTGTGGCCGGGACAGTTGCTGACGCCGCGAGTGCACGTTCCCGCGACGGAGGAGTCCAAGGCGCCGGCGGACCTCGCCACGGGTTCGCACATTCACCACCGCAATGCCCCGCCCGCCGTGCTCCCCGCCCCGGCAGGTAGCCCACCTCCCCCCCAGCGAAGAAGAAGAAAAAAGAATGAACAAGAACGAAGAATGAAGAAGAATGAAGATTACTGGGTGTGGCGAGCTGGCTAACGCGTAGGTATAGTGGAACAGGCGACGAGCGTGGTGCACTTCTTCTTCGACCGCTGCGCCGAGCATCCCGAGCAGCACGCCTTCTCCGTTCGGTACGCGTGCGACACACATTTCCATTATTATTTCGTTAAACCGAAACATAACGCAAACGCAAATACAAACGAAACAAAAGGCGCGAGGAGTTCTGGCGACGCAAGACGTGGGGCCAATACCGGCACATGGTGTGCCGGGCCGCGCGGGCCATGATCTCGTTCGGGCTCAAGCCGGGTGACCGCATCTGCATCTTTGGCAAGAGTGCCACCAGGTGCGCGTCGTGTCGTGTGTCATGTCGTGTGTCGTGTCGTGTCGTGTCATGTGCGTGTCATGTCGTATGTGTCGTGTGTGAAAACGCTGCTTGTCGCTCACTTCTGTAGTCCACCACCCATCACTCGTACAAAGGCCGGAATGGAACATATTCAGCCTCGCTGCCATGGCCGCGGGCGCCATTCCCTGCGTCGGGCACAGCTACAACACGTGCGTGTGGCTCACCCCCGTGCGTGCGTGGGTGCGAGGTGTGTCGTAATTTAGGAAACCTGACACAACACACACGACAGGGCCGAGCTGCTGCGCATACTGAAGCAGTCGGAGGCGCCGTTCCTGCTGCTCGAGAAGCAGAGCCAGTGGAAGAAGGTGCGGGCCGAGCTCAAGGCCTTCCCGCACCTGCGGCTGGTCATCATCAAGGAGCCCGGCAACGCCGGCCTGGGCCACGACGCGGTGCTCACCTGGCGCATCTTCTCGCGCGCCGGCGAGCGGCTCAAGGGCTCTCGCGACACCGTCATCGACGCCCTCGACGCCGAACTCGAGAAGCGCACCAAAGGTGTGTTGCGTGTTGCGTGTTGCGTGTGAGGTGAGCTCACACTCACACTCGTGTGCGGCCGCGACCAGCGATCGTGCCGACGGACACGGCCTGCATCGTGTTCACGCCGGGCACTGAGTCCGCGAGCGCCGACGCGCCGCCGCGGGGCAAGGGCGTCGTGCTCTCGCACCGGAGCGTCCTGTGGACGGCCCGGCGCGTGGCCCAGTCCCTGGGCGTCACCGCCGACGACTGCTACGTGTCCTTCTTATCGTCCGCCCAGATCAGCGAACAGCTGCTGGCCCTGCACGTGCCCATCCTCACCGGCATGTCTGTATTCTATGTCCCCGAGGTACGCAACGCGCGTGTCGTGTTGCGTGTGTCGTTGTTCGTGTGCGGTGGTGCGTGTGTGTCGTGGTGCGTGTCGTGTCATCTTTTGGCTGACGTGTCGAACGACACACAACCGAACGTGCGTATGGCACGCAGGCGACGATGCTGCACGGGTGCATCAAGGAGGTGCAGCCGACGATCCTTTCCGCCCCGCCGGACTTTTGGCTCACCTCCCATCACGTGCGCGCCTCCACGACACACACGACACACACGACACACACACGACACACACACGACACACACACACGACACACACACGACCAACGAGGCGGTACTCATCTTTTCGCGTAACTGCTGCACACATAAAACAGGCGATGACGGAGAGCCTGCCGGCGTCGGGCGTCGCCGGGTTGGCCCCGCGGGTGCTCGACCAGGTCCGCAAGCAGCTCGGCTGCGGCCGCGTCCGCCACGCCCTCGTCGGCGGCAACTCCCAGCCCGGTATCAAACATTCCACTCATTCCAAGCAGACCACCACCACTCGCCTGGCTGACATTCCTCAACTCATGTCGGCGCACTCACAGTGGCGCGGGCCGTGGTCGACTTCTTCGCTGAGCTGGGGGTGCGGCTGGTCCACTGCTACGGCCAGGCCGAGACCTGCGGCCTGCTGACGTGGACGCTCGACAACAACAAGCCCACCACTGCTGCGGCCGAGGGGCCGGACCAGCAGCTGGTCGCGGTGGGCGAGGCCCTGCCCGAATGCGAGTTTAAGGTGGCAGCTGACGACGGCGAGATCCTGGTGCGCGGGCCGCACCTGTTCACCGAATACTTCCAGGACCCGGCCCTGACCGCCCAGGCCCGGTCGGCCGACGGCTGGTTCCGCACGGGCGACGTGGGCAGGCTCGACTCGCAAGGGTGACGTCACACACATAATCTGCATTCCACACGCATACCGTGCGCTTGACTCACATTCCTGTGTGGTGGTGGTGGGCTGTGTGGTGGACAGGCATCTGGTGTGGCTCGGGCGGCGAGCCGACGCGATCCAGCTGGCCGACGGTCGCGTGGTCCATCCCGCCGCGCTCGAGGCCGCCCTCCGCTGCATTCCCCTCATGCGGTGCGCACACGCACCACCGCCCTCGCACGACCGCACACGCTCACTCGGGTGGTGGTGGTATGACAGGAACGCGTTGGTGGTAGGCAAGGGCCGCGAGTTCCTGGCGGCGCTGCTCATCGTCGACGTGGCCCTCATGAAACGCGCTGCCAAGAAGCGCAACTGTCTCCCCAAGAAGTACCCACTCCTCGTGTCGACGTGTGGAGTGTGTTGCGTGTGGAGTGTGTCGTGTGTCATGGCTGACCCCCCCCCGCATTGCAGATTGCTCGGCAGCACGGATTTCCAGGCGCAGCTCAAGGCCATCGCGGAAACCGAGGCCATGACGGCGACGGGTCTCAAGAAGTGGTCCATCGTACCCCGGTCCCTGACCATCAAGCGCAAGTGCGTCATGCGCGTATCGTGTCGTGTTGCGTGTCGTGGCGGCGCACACATTCGGAAGAGGAGTCTCACGTTCCAACGTCGTCGTCGTCGTCGTCGTCGTCGTCGTCGTCGTCGTGTGTGTGTGTGTGTGTGTGTGTGTGTGTGT